AGCCCTTGGAGTGCCAGACTGAAAACAAAAAGAGTTAGTATATGCACAAGACAACTAAAAGGAGAAGAGTTTTCAAAGCTTACCAAGGGTGCCTCCTTGCTGGGGGAGTCGGCATACGACTGCTTCAATAGCGAGACCCGCAGCATGGCCGCCGCAGTCTTAGATGCTGTTATTTTACTCATGGCGTCGGCTGAAAGAAATAAACAGCAAAGTTAGTAAAAATCCCAAGTAAACAAAGCGTGAAAAAACAGAGTATTCGTCAGGCCGGCTACCTCTAGAGCACCGACTGCCGAGGCCACAGGCGGCCAAGAAGTACTCGTCATAGAGCCACTTGAAGCTCGGGACGCAATTTAGGGGTACTTGCTCTCGTACCCCTGAAGTAGAGTTCACCCTAGTCTCTACTTTGAAGAGTCCTTTGTCTAGGATCTCTTTTTTAGCCTTTGGGGGAACAGGCGGCATGCTGCGGCCGCCTGCGAGAAGAGGCGGATCCCTGTTCCACTTGTTAAAACGTTTGTTCAGCTCTGTGTCTGAACTCTCGATAATAAGGAAGGTGTTCCGCCAATCCTTCCATTTGTTTGCCTTACCTCTCGTCATGAGGTAACCCCTATGGCTTGTTAGTTGATACCAGCCGGTACCTCCCGACTTAGGGGTCCGGCTGAGATAGTTCATGTGGGCGAAAGCCTCAAAACTTGGCTCCACCCCGTTCAGTTCGCACCCGGCCACATAGCCGAGTACGTTTACCCAAGAGTTGGGGGCTAACTGCCATAACCCCAGATCATACCCATCTAAAATCCGCTGAACAGTCGGATGTAATGGGAAGCGCAGTCCAGCTTTGATGGCCGCCACATAGCAGCCAAAGCAGCCGTCACCATAGCTGGTACCAGCCGGCCAGACGACAGTATCTTCTGGATCCGGCACAAACAGTAAATACTCCGGGCCCATTTTGTGGTTAGCAATAAAGCTCGCCACGTTGTCTCGCATGGTTGCAATCCGGCCCCGGGGCACCCTGCAGTAGTAGGGGGCGTTTTCCTCTCTGTAAGAGGCGGACGGCTCTGCCCAATTATCCCCCTTCTCCACTGCATGAGAACTTCTCGCCTCTTGTAGGCGGCTATGTTTTTCTTCTGAGCCAGAAGAACTATGGTCAGAAGAGCTGGATTCGGACTCGTCCCCTGACGAGTCCGAAGAGGACGACTCCTCCCCTCTCCTAGAGGGGCCCGCCTCCTCTCCCTTAGAAGGAGCAGAAGGAAAATTAGACATGTCCACGGTTAGATGAGAAGGGAACACCTTGGTCCCTCTCTCAGAACTGTCAGCTTGACAGTCGCCTCGTTCTACATCTGGCGCCTGGTCAGATGTTTCGCTAAGGAGCACCCTTTGGGAGGAGCCGTCTGAGTTTGATATCATAGCAGTCTTTTTTGTTCTGGCCATCACGTTCTGCATAGACACAGATTCAGTCGGACTTTGTATAAAGGGCAAAGATGGGTCCAGAAAAGGGCAGGCGGCACTCCTAGTCCTAGATTCAGCCGTCCCCGGTGACCGGCTGATCACTAACTTAGGGCGTGTCGTGTGCTTCCATGGTGCCATTTCAAAAAATAAAAAGAAAATTAAGAGTAAGAGAACTGAGTTACCTGAACGGGTGACGGTTGATGAAGTCCTGGAAGTTCGGGTCAGTCGGCTTGTCAGAACAGGCGGTAGGCAGAAAAAGTCCGAAAATGTCAGAGCAAGTTCAGGGGTCCGAATGTTCTCGCAAAAGTTCTCAAATGTGAAAATGACCGAAGTCAGCACTTCCTTTTATAGGCAAAATGAGAAGGCGAAGGGTCGCTTCCGAATTCAAATTTGGGCGGGAAAATCTCTCGGCCGTCTGCAAGGTGACACCTGTAACGGGCCGTCGCCTGTCACCGTGCGACACCTGTCACAGGCGACACGTGACCAGTCGCGTGCCACCTGTGAGGGGCAAATGATTAAGGGATTTTTATCCACCAATCACCGTCTGACAAGTGGACCAACCAGGTTCCGCCACGTGTCCTTCACGAAGGCCAACAGGAGCTTGCCACGTGTCAGTCACAGATACGTCCTCCACGGACCACTTAAGACACGCCACGTGTCCACCCATGCTAAGTGGGACAACCGGCCATCAAGGCCCAATTCAGTCTAGAGGCCCGATCAGCCCTAGGTTTACCTTAAACCTAGAGAGTTGCACGCTTCCCAAGGCTATAAATACTCGATTAATCCTCATTAATCAAAGGACCAAATAATTAAGAGATCAAGCAGAGAAGAACAGACTTATTAACGACCGGCTAATCTCGCTAACAACGCAGATTACCAACACTAAGCACTCTCACCTAGAGAGATCTGATTACTTTAATTTCTGTATTGATTACTCCTTAATCAGGTACTAACTTGACCGTTGGAGGCGGAGCTCTCAGGAGTCTCCGTTATTTTGCAGGTACAGGCGTCCGGTTCCAGTCTCGGAATTGTAACTCTCCCGCAGGACATCAGAAAACCCCGAAACACTTAGGATTTTATATGTTAATGTAATTATTTTTAGACCGATTACAATAATTTATATACGAATTTGGAGTACATTATTTTCAAGTTTTCTGCATTTGATACTTGTAATTTTCCAACAATTTTATACATTGTAATTTAAATTTTAAAAATCAAATTAAATTTTTTTAATTTTTTTTATTTAAAATGAGACCAAAGAGACCCATTATACCTAAAAAGCGGTCTCAACTTCCTCTAACAAAGACTACCTAATTTAGATAGGCGGTCTTAGTTTTTAGAAAAGAGAGGCCGCTTTTCTCATAAAGGCAGTCTCAACTTTCTCAAAATTGAGACCGCTTATCTTCAAGAGGCGGTCTCAACTTTCCCATTTTAGATACCGCCTCTAACAAAGCAGTCTCTTTGCCAAAGAGATCGCTGTGCTAGAGATCGCCTCTAAGGCAGTCTCTTTGGTTAATTCAAACGGGTCTCTTTGGCCAAATTTTTAGAAGTGAATAAATCCTTAAACTCCCTCGCCTTAAGTTCAACAGCACCCTTCCCAATCACCTTAAATTTCTTCCAGCCAATATCTATCACAGTTTTTTCAAGAACATCGCTTACAATTCTTAGCCTAGTTGTCATCACTATCTTAGACCCAAACCTAGTTTCAACAACCTTAAAGAGTCTTAAAATCAAAATAACGTTCAAAAACTGTTTTGAACAAACCATGATTTTGAATAATATAATTAATTTCATCAACTTGCTTCACTAAATCTGAAATCCATTTACACTCTTTGTAATGGTTAACTTTCTCACTAGGTTCACATATAGATTTCAAAACCAAGTTTACGCAATAAACAACACAAGGTGTCCAAAAATTGTAGGATATTTTTTTTTTAATTGCACGACCATCTGCTTTATAATTTGCAGCATTATTAGTTACAATCTAAACAATATTAAATGAACCTACATCTTCAATAATTTCAGAGAACAAACCTACCATATAGTCAGCGTCTTTTGTAAGGATTTCACTTGCATCAAAAGCTTTCAAATAAATAGAGCCAGCATCTGAGGCAGCCATTATATTTATCAAAGGCTTTGATGTAAGATCTTGCCAACCGTTAGAGAAAATTGAAACTCCTTTCTTCACCTAACTGTCTCGAATTGGGTAAAGTAATTTTGCAACATGAGCTTTCAATTAAAATAGTAAAGTTGTTTTGAGTCTTCCATAAGTAGGAGGAAGAAACCCATGCAAGTGTCCATTGGCTAGCCTTTGACAAAATTTTCTGAAGTAAGGATTTCTTACAAAGTTGAAAGAGAGCATACCCATATAAAACATCATAGGACATTCTTTGTCAGCTTCTTCCCTTTTTAACACATTAAAAGATAACTCCAATGCATCTTTTCTTTTCTTTGAATGAGCTAAATCCGAACCTTCATGAAGAGAGACGTAATCCTACTTTTGTTTGATGCTTAAATTACGAGACCTTTTCTTCTGTTCAGCTTCATCATTTTCCCTCTTAATCTCGCAATATATGTCGTCTATGATTGTACAAGGTGAAATACCTTGGTAGGGAATTTTAATCAAACACTTTTTTACTTTAGAATAAGAACAACTTAGTTCTTTGTTGCAATACTTGCATCTCCTCTTCCCGTTACCACCTTCATCAGCAGACAATTTCAAAACTTTGACATCACTCCTTAGTGGTGTATCGTCAAACCCTTGATTCTTAGTTGGTCGAGGAATTAATGCTAGATACGATTATAAAATTATAAGAAAAAATTAAATTAATTAAGTCCTCAAGGAAAGTCGTGTCTAATTGGAGGAGCCAGAGGTCCCATTATGAATAAAACGGAGGAGGAAATGGTAAACATAATTGAAGACGTAGTTTGTGTAAGGAGGGTGTTCCCATTATAAGAGATTCTTCTCCTTAGATGCCCATGGCCCTTTAAAAGTCTAGGACATTACAATTGTTACGGTGTATTAGGGTTTGAATTCCTAACTATTTGGGAGACCTTGAATTAGAAATGATACTCTTATCACGCTTTTTTGTAAGAAACAAGTAAGAGTCGCCAATGAGTTTTAGGAAAACTCATAAACCTCGTTCATGCCTTTCTCCCAAGTAAAGTTCAAGGGATAATTAGCACGAATCGTAAGTTTACCATGCCCAAATTAGTCTACATAAACCAGAAATGAGTTCGGGAGCAAGGGTATCACACTACGTGAAAAAACGTAATTGGCACCGGTTCAAAACCCCTCAATGCCACCGGTTTTGAACCGGTGCCAATGTGGGGGGTCCCAATTACGAGCATGAAAAGCCACCGGTTCAAACCGGTGGCAAAAATAGTTTTTGGCACCGGTTAACCGGTGCCATAAATAGCCCAAATATTTTTTTTCCATTGTTTTTGACACCGGTTAACCGGTGCCAAAAATGCCCATTATATATATAATTTTTTTTTGTCATTTTTTACTTAACAATTAAATAAAAAAAAATCACAATTAAATATGACGATTTCAATCAATATAATCCAAATTTTACAATACATAATCAAAAAAAAAAATTACAATCAATTACAACATATAAATAAATAAAAAAATTTACATTATAAATAAAAAATTACAATATACTCGTAAATAAAAAAAATTAGAATATAAATAAAAAAACCCTACACATCTAAATCAATATTCTTGAATCTTGATTCTTCAATTTAAGATCTAAATTGATGTACCTGCACCAATTAAAAAAAAAAATTAATATAAATAAGCTTCGAAAAACAAAAAAAACTAGAAATTCAATCCAAAAAATTAAAACCCAGAAAAATAAAGCAGGAATTCAAACCCAGAAAAAAAAAACCAGAAATTCAAATGTAAGACAATCGAATTGAAACCCAGTAAAAAAATAATAAATCAGAAATCGGAAAAAAAAAAAATCAAAATGAAACCCAGGAAAAAAAAAATCAACCCAGAAAAAAATTCAACCTCGAAATCGAAATTGAAAAAAAAACACATGCAATAAACCCAGAAAATCCAACCTCGAAATCGAAATTGAAAAAAAAAAATTAACCCAGAAAAAATATAACCCCAGACATCGAAAAAAAATAAACCCAGAAAAATTGAAAAATTAAAACGAATTAAAATCCAAAATCAAACACATGCAAGAACCCATAAAATCGATTTAAATCCTGAAAATCGAAAAAAAAACACATGCAATAAACCCAGAAAATCGAAATCAGAAATCGAAATCCAAAAATCAAAATCGAAAAAAAAACACATGCAATAAACCCAGAAAATCGAAATCCGAAAATCGATTCAAATCAATTAATGAAGCCCAGAGAAAATTCGAATTAAAATCCAAAATCAAACCCAAAAAACACCCAATAAACACAAACCCAGAAAAATCGAAAAATTAAACTAAAAAATCAAACCCATCTTGATTAGATTCGTTGTTGTTCGTGGTCTTGAGTATTGGACTTGGTGGTGGTGTTGGTGGTCGTCTTCGGTGGTGTTTAGGTGAACAAGGGGGTTTTTTTTAGGGAGAGGAGAGAGGAGAGAGAAGAGAGGAGAGGAGAGGAGAGAGCAGAGAGGAGGCTAGAGGAGATCAGGAGAGAGAAGAGAGGAAGGAGGCCGAGTATGAGGGAGGGTAGGGTTTAGGGAAATATATAAGGGATTTTTTTTAAAAAAAAAGGTTTTTGGCAAAGGTTCGGTTCAAACCGGTGCCAAAAACCTCTTCTAAAAAACCCGCCTACTTTAACCCATGTTTTTGCCACCGGTTTTGAAGAACCGGTGCCATTCTAATTTTTTCACCTAGTGTCAATATAACATTCCTTTTAGAGGGGATTTGCTATCTTAGCCCTAGTACTACCTCTATTAGCTCTTCCTTTTTCACAATTTCATTACGAAACAATATATGCAACATGGTTCCTAAAAACTAAGTTAGATTATTTTATTTACAAGCGTCAATCCCGTAGGAATTATATTGCAAAAGTCGTTATTCTTATTTAATCAATATTCATAGACAAGAACAAAATAAACAATATTCGCCTTGTCTTAAGTGATAAAACAACAATTAATTATCAAATTCTAGTCTTGATTAACAAAAGAATACTATGTGAATTAATTAATTAGAAGTGTGTTTTAAGTGATCAAACAACACTATCTATTCAATTAAAGTTATTTAAAAAATAAAAGAAAAATTATTTATATAAGTGCTCATAAGGAACTTAAGCTTTCTTCTTTTATGTTAAATCTCTGTTTAATGTGTTTATTAACTTTCTTTCTTCTTTGTACCTCCAAAGACTTCAATGGATTCAATTAGGGTTGGAAAGTATTTTGGATGATAGAAGAAAATTAGTATGATAGTAAGAGAACTTGAGAGATTAGGGTTTTGAGAATGCTAGGATTTTTAATTCTGATTTTCCGGTCCTCATAATGCTGAACGAAGACTCCTATTTATAGGCGTAAGGATCTAGGTTAGGGTTTTAAAGTCGAGCCGTCAAGTGGCGTGCGTAACACTCTGAGTTGCGTTAGGTGCCGCACGCATCTCAATGAGTCGTGCGCGCCAGGCGCGCGCAACTTACTGAGTTGCGTTGGGATGCGGTTTGCCTTATGCGAAAACGCGTTTAAAAAACTTTCATAACTTTTGATTGCAAATTCGGAATTATGAGTGTAGGATATCATTGGAAAGGTATGAATGTCTAATTTCTGATTCCGTTAAAATTAGGTTAAAATATGTTATAGATCAAAAGATTTGACCGTTGTAGTGCAAGGGTGTCGGTTTTAGGGCTCGGTTTAGTGTTTTGATCATAAATTCTTCGTTTTAACTCGGATTTGGGTTTATAATATACCGTTGGAAATATCTTTGAAAGGGATATCCATATGTATAGGACATGAACGGAAATGTGATGGTAGTTTTATCTTTTTGGCTCGGTTTTCAACAACGTAAGATCCATTAGATCGAATCATTGCATTTGCCTCATTTGGGTCCATTATTAATCAAGTTTAAACATGTATGACCACATTTTAGGCCTAATAAGTAATCAAAAAGGCTCTATGATTACTTGGTCTCAAATATGAGTTTTAACGTAATTCATAATGCATTTCGTAGTCCATAAACACTTCAACTTTGATCTAACATGAAGAACGGAAATTTGTAACATCATTGCACTTACTTTCGGGATAAGAGGCCAAAAGTAGGTTTCTACAGCTATCCCCCACTTTGTTTGCGTGTTGAATAGATGATGATCAAAGTAGTCAAGGAAATTGTTGGGGTTTAGTGAGTCCGACTCACCGTGGAAACAAACCCAAAAACATGACCGCACTCGCAATAAATAAAACCATAAACATAATTAACCTAATGAAAATATTGAGATAATAATTATACCTTTGACGCGTGATTTTCCCGACCTCAATGGGCTCATACTTCGAAAGCTAGCCTCAAAATTACGATGATTTCCAACGGAAGTCCACCCAAAACTCGAACGCCGACTAGGGTCCAATTCCTTGGAGTTAGCAAGGCCCGACCTTAAACCGAGTAATTGAGTTCAATGTTTTTCACAATGGTGGTGCCTTTTTTAACTCTTGAGTTCAAAGGTTTTCACAATGGTGATGCCTTTTTCAACTCTTACCCAAGTAGCTTTCCCAATACCCCAAGTTGGGTATTTATAGAGAAATGCAAGAGTATGAAAAGCTCTCCCATCAATATGGGAAAATTTGATTTTCCCATTTTTTTTAAAGCTAAAATAAAATTAATAATCAAACTAGTAATAAATCAACAAGTGGCAAGTTACAAGGAGGAGTAGGTGAGGACCATTTAGAGGGGGGGGGGGGGACCAAACTTGCCCCCACTCTTACTCCCATAACCGACTACCTCTCCTCTTTTCCTTCCAATTAGATTCAGCCACGTGGCAGCTCACTTGAGAACCCATGGCAACCTTGTGAGCTGCCACGGTACAGTTATGGTGCCTCGGCCTAGCTCACCTTGCACCTAAAAGTGCGGGCTGTTGGCTGCCTCGGTCTAGAAAGCCACACACCAAGTGTGTGGGCTGCTAGCTGTAGAATGCTAGCCTAGCCCCGCAAATGGTGCGACCTACTAGCATCAGCCGCGCCCCTAGAACTCGGTTTTCCGATGGTAGGGGTGTTTTGGTCATTGTTGATTTATTGTTATTTTCACATTTCATATTTTTATTATTTTTTCGACTCGACTTTCGACGCTCGGTTTTGGCGCTCCAAGCTTGAATTTTCGATGTCTAAATATTAATTATTCGATCGACTTATTAATTAATTCCTAATTAATCCGTCACTTTGGCTCGTTAGTTGCTTGGGTGTGACCCGAAAGGTTCAGTCAAGATTAAGATCTATTATTAATTATGCATTAATATCACGGATCGGAAGTGGCCTCCACCCCGGCATTCCGATCACTTGACCTTACTAAAAAATTAGCTTTGTAATAATTCTGAACCCCCTATCGGGATAATACACTTGTTCAAAGGACACGATTCCTTTCAACCTCCCACCTATCCTTCCGGAAAAGTTTGCCTTTTAGTGTATAGCCCTTTTCCTATGTCATTTAATTGCTCTTCATGAACTATATGGTAATATTTATTTGTCATCCTTATTACGTTCAGAAGTGTTTCTCGGTTCCGAGTCCGACTGTCAATAAACAGATGATTTCTAAAATCCATCCGAGCACGACCATACATTTTATAGTCTCGCTCTACAAGAGGCCTTGTAAACAACAAAGACATCTTTTCTATTTTAATAGGGGGACATTTCCAGTCTTGTAATGTAGCTTCTTTTACAGAGAGGACCTAGCCGCCTGAGTGATGTCGTTATAATCCCCTATTACGGCAGGCGTTTGACAATCATCAAAGCGGATTAGTATTCAAACAAGAATGCTTACAATACTTATGGTTGAGGAAAAAGGTTCCGATAGCAATAATGAGAAGTATACTTATGACGATTTTTAATCTCTTAAAGTATTCTCATAGGTCGATCCAGTATGGTTCTAAACCAATACTTGTGTAAATGATTTATGACGATCATGTCCTTGTATCACAAGAAACGGTGCTACAATAAACACTACACATTAATCTTAAATGGTCATTAATCGTCCATCGTTTAAATGACCTCGATTAGGGATAATTTTCAATTGTAATATTCAATGTTCACTTAATAAGTGTTTCCTTACAAAGACTGGTCTTGATACCCTATTTTGAATATTCCAAGAATTGAATGGACCCAATATTTAATTCTAAACAACAATTAAATAGTCAACAGAGTGATTTAAATCGCATGAAAAATTTAAATACTCCAAAATTGAATGGTTTATCATAGTGCTTTACATTAAAATTGTCCAAAATTAATTAAAACACTAATATAAGGAAATCAAAGCCAATCTTCGATGTGCCTGATTCACATTGCCTCAACTTAATTGTTGTGATTCACTTGAGGCAAAGGTTTAGTCAGTGGATCTGCTACATTGTCATCCGTTCCAACTTTGCAAATTCTGATTTCATCTTCTGATTTCCATTCTCAAATCATGTGAAACCGCCGCTTGACATGTTTGACCTTCTGATGTTCTCTTAGCTCTTTAGCTTGAGCAATAGCTCCATTGTTGTCAAAATAGAGGTCTATTGGACCCTTGATGGAGGGTACAACACCAAGTTCACCTATTAACTTGCAAATCAAAACTGCCTCCTTAGTTGTCTCAGATTCTACCAAGTATTCGGCTTCAGTTATAGAATTTGCAGTTGTGCTTGGCTTTGCACTCTTCCAACTAAATGCTCCTCCATTTAGACAGATTATGTACCTAGACTGTGACTTGATGTCGTCTCTGTCTGTCTGGAAGCTTGTGTCGGTATAACCCTCAACAACTAATTCATCTCTACCACCATAGACCAGGAATTTATCCTTGTTCCTTTTCAGGTACTTTAGGATATTCTTGGCCGCAGTCCAATGCGCCTCTCCTGGGTCTGATAGGTATCGGCTCGTAGCGTTCAAGGCATAAAATACATCTGTCCTAGTACATATCATGGCATACGTGATCATTCTAATTAGCAAAGCATATGGAATCTGATTCATCCTTTCTCGCTCATCAGGTGTCTTTGGACACTGCTTCTTGCATAGGGTTCTGCCATGTGACATGGACATGTGACCTCTCTTGGCCCCTTCCATTTTGAAATGAGCTAGTACCTTATTAATATAAGTACTTTGACTCAATCCTATCATCCATTTTGACCTATCCATATAGATCTTCTTGCCAAGTATGTACTGAGCCTCTCCCTAGTCTTTCATTGAGAAACGTTTTTTGAGCCAAGCCTTTGCAGACTCTAATAACGGAATGTTGTTTCCAATGAGTAATATGTCATCGACATGTAAGACTAGGAAGGCAATGTCACTCCCACTGACCTTCTTGTAGACACAAGACTTAACTGGATTCTTGATAAAACCAAACATACTGATGGCTTCATCGAATCGCAGATTCCAACTTCGGCTTTTTTGCTTTAATCCATAAATGGTCTTCTTAAGCTTACAAACCTTTCTAGCGTTGTTTTGGTGATAACACTTTCAGGTTGTGTTATATACACAGTTTCTTCAAAAATACCATTTAGGAAGATGGTTTTCACGTCTATCTGCCATATTTCATAGTTGTTATATGCAACAATCGCTAGGAGGATCCGAACGGATTTAAGCATTGCGACCGGAGAAAAGGTTTCATCGTAATCAGTACCATGAACTTGTTTATAACCTTTTTCTACCAATCTAGCTTTGTAAATGAATACAT